AGAGGGATTACCTCTCCTATCTCATCTCTTTCTTTCCCTTTCTCTGACTCTATCTATCTTCATCTACCATTCTCCATTCCGCTTTCTCACTTCATTTTTCTACCTCCCAGTGGTGGAGAGTTTGCCTAATGAAGTGGCTGATGGGAGTATATTACAGAGAGACAGAGTGGAGCGGTCGCCTACTCTAAAATCCATTAACCTTACAGTTTCAATCAGTGTGCAGACAAGTCTGAGCTATGAGTCAAAAAGGAGCGTATTAGCTCAAGAGTTAAACTATTGTGCCTTGCACTTGTTTTTCTCAATATTTTGCCCATATCTTTGTCTGAAAACAGTCCTTTTACTCTGTATAATCATTGTGCTGTCAGCGTTTTACAGTTTTCCTTGGTGAAGCTGATATAGTTCAGTGTAGCAAAAAAATCTGGGCCCTGTCCATACACAGCCTAAGTGGGCCTCCTTACCCTTTCAGTACATCCATTTTCATGCATGTAAAAATAACTGAATCACTTCAGGCACATTTACATTTTTAGGACTCGATTCAAAGGATTTTTCTTAGAGTCCAATGTCAGAATCAGCACAATCACACATTCAAAGACAAACAGTTTTTTTCTTTGCAATTGTAGAAGCTGAGTAAACTAGTGATTTCCATCAGTTTGGCATATGCCCTCTCAAAACAAAGGTTCTTGTCATTACCTGCCATCATTTGATGCATGCCAGGTGTGACCAGTTCAACCAAAAAGTTGACCCCTTGTGTTGAGGTGGTCTTGACCCCTGCTTGGGAACTTCTACATTAAACCATGTGCACCTTTCAGAGGAGGGAGGACTCCTATATTATTTTAAAAAGTCTGTCACATTATTTATTTGACAAGTAACCATGATAATACATGTAATCTGGGCTTTATCAATGGTTAGTAATTTTTGACTATTTCCCCCACTAGTGTGCCCCTGAGAGGAGTCTTCTGGGGTACTTGCAATACCAATGTCCTTTTGAACACTTATAATGTGAATGTAGAGTGACTGCTTTAATTTCCAGAGCATCATTTTGACTTTGAATAGATGATTTGACATCCTGCATCACTATTGAAATCTCTTGTAACTGCAATAGGATAATGGCACATTCCAAAGCAAAATTGTGCAATTACATACAACAACAATATGCTTTTTTTAGTTAATAGTTTTCAATACAAAGATGACAAAATAATACAAAAAAAAAGAGAGCAAAACAGAACACAAAAAGAAAGAAGTGTGTGTGTGTGTGTGTGTGTGTGTGTGTGTGTGTAAAAGTGTAAGATACACGTGTATGATATATGAGACTTCTTTTCAAGGTTTTATCAAGACCTGATCTAATAAAGTTAAAGGGTCCATCAAGTTCAACAGGCCTATCATCGTCTTGGAGAGTTAGAGCTGTCTGTTCCATTGATAGCAAGTTCATAAAGTCCTTATACCAGCTCCCTTTGCTGAAACACCTAGGTTAACACCTATGTTGTTTCCAATTATTAGGATGATCCGCTTAGCTGATACAAAGGCCAGTGTTATATACTATGCACAGTACTACTATATAATACTATATACAATACTACTCAATAGTATCTATATATTGAGGAACCATGACAAGTTTTCAGTAATATTTGACAATACCACAACAAGTGCATCCACTTCAAAACCATGCCAGCACAATTTTGATAATGTATGTTCAATTTTGTTAAATGTGCAGGTTGTAATATAGGCCCCTGTGTATTATCTTTATTTGCAGAACCTTATATGTGACACACTTTGATGTTTTAGTACTATTTTAAGCTCTGCATTCAATTGTGTTGTGGTTATACACATGCCACATTCCCATTGTAATTTCATTTGGAAATTGCTTTCAGAGGCAAAAGAAGACAGCAGCCTATACACTATTGAGACTGTACCTCTCCTGTCAAAAATATGCTCTAAAAATATTAGCTTGACTTGTTTGATTTGTGTGTACAACAATGCAGATATCAGACTGTCACGTTAGTGAGAGAGACTTTTTTTCATGGTCAAAACTACTGTTTGGTAATGTGACAGCTTCATTTTAAGCAAAAGAAAAGCAAACTCCACACTATGGATCTGGTCAATAAAGGAAAGGGCTGCGCCCGTGCAGGATAAATGCTGATTCCCATATGAAACGTAATGTGTACCGAAAGGATAACCCCATCTCCTGATTCAACTAAAGTGGAAAAAGTGCAGTTTTATTTTCAATACTGTCAGTGCCCAGGATTGAAGTGGTTTAACCAGAGGAGAAAAAAGATGAATAAATAAATGAAGCCTCCCTGGTCTTGATAATGCAAATGATATGCACAGGTTAGATCTGATGCAGGTGGCCACAATTAGTGGTAATTTGTGCCGATTTTAATGATCCATAATTTAGCTGCCTTTCCAAACTGTTGGTCATGTGGGATAAGTGTGTGTCTGTGTGTGTACAGAAAGTGAGAAGGGAGGGATGGTCACAAAGAAGGTGGAGGCAATGAAAGAAAGGAATCTTCCACACGCTGAAATACGTTAACAGACAGGACCCCTGTCTACAAGCATCCACGTTTGTATAATCTCAGTATAATCTTTGTCAATAAAATCACATCTTTGCCAATTTAAATTAGTGTTTATGTATGTTCTGAAGTCCCATAGCATGGGGGGAAATTACTCTTTTAAATACACACACTCTCATGAGCACATACACAAATGTTCCCTTTGCAGATATGTGTTAAATCAGTTTTTTCACCACAACCTCTCTGACTCTCTCTTTCTGGCTATTAGAGGTAAATTGCAGTGTGCAGATGTATAAAAGCTTCCATGTAAACCATGACATCCTTTTAGTTTCACTCCTAATTTGTCGTTCTGCTGGTAATTAGCGAGCGATTTGTCCTGTTTTGTGTGTATTTTTTACAACCCACCTTACCTGTTTACATATTAATGGGATGTTTTGTAATTTATTGTTCATGACATGTTACAACAAAATAGCTTTTTACATCAAAAATCATCTGAGATAATTAGCATCAATATCATGACCCCTGGAATGACATCTGTTTATTTATTCTGATTTTGCAATAATATTACAGCAACTTTTGACACTGTTGGATGTTGACATAATTGTCGTGGCTGTTATCCCATAAATAACTGCATTTCTACCCACACCTGGAAGGGCACACATATTATCTTTGACCACAATTTAAAATGTGATAGTAAAAGATTTTAAATATTTAGATTTTTCTACAAAGTTTATAAAGTTTTAGTGTGTTAAGAACAATTTTTGGTTGCCATTAATGGAGAAATGAATTCATTGCTGGGGTAGTGAGGCTGCCTACCAGTATTTATGCTCTCCTTATATACCTGCTATAGGGTTTACTATGTTTGTAAGTATGTGCTTGTAATTGCTTTATTTAATATTAAAAAAAAAAAAATAACAAAGTGTGTAATAAAATTGGCCTACTTTCACAGCAGCATTTTTTCTTTAAATATTTTTTCTCGTGTCTTTTTCCAGTCCTTTGTGTAGCTCTTTGCCCACATATGGTCACAAGAATGTTTTAAGGACTTAACTGTCCACCTTAAATCATTTTTATTGTTGATGGTATTTCCTGAAATATGACATAAATGTCTAACCTTCGTGTTTTCAAGCATATTTCTGCTTGATTGTGTGTGTATCTATTTGTGTCTTCACATATGGATGTGTATCTCTGTTTGTTCACTTTGTCAAACGCACCCACATTGCACTGTGCTTAATGGTGGAAAGCTCTGCATGGCAGCAACGGGGGTTTGTCTGTCATCTAATCTTGTAAACGAGCTGATGGCCGTCCGTTCGGTCCCCTAATGAGATTACACATGCACTGCGGGTCCCACCACAGGTCATCATCGCCGAGGCCATTCAAAGGCAATTATTGTTTTAAATGTTCCTCTCGTCGCCGTCTCAAAGTGACTTGGCATGCTTAACTGAGGGAAGAAGCTTTGAGGGGTTATTTTTCCTCTCCGGTTGGAGCCAAAATGTTTTTACACTCCTACTGTTTTACTTTCCTCAGGCGGCTGGGGTGTCTTATTCTGTCTGTGTGAATGGAGAGTATGCGTATGTGCATTTGTCTGTGGGGTGATCGGTGCTGGACTATCAAAACTACATAAAAGAATATAACTGGAATATAGTATACATGAATAAACTTGTGTATAATGAATTTTTATTCTTAGGTTGCCAAAAAAAGAAATCATTTCTGAGCCAGTATTTACTGATTGGGTTATACTTTGAAATAATAAATCGCCAACCTTTTCTCAGCTATATTACTGAGTAAAAACCATTCCTAGTTCGTCAGATATCATATTAACTTTTATGTATTTATGCTGTTGCTGCAGAATTGAGGAAGCAGTAATTTAAAGGACTAAAGGATTCTTCTCTGTTGCCTCTCCTGCATGTGAGTGTATGTGTGTTTGTGAGCGGGCCTCTGTTTTGGTAGATCAGTGGGAAGTGGTAGTCCACCGGGATAGCCCTGTTTCTTTGTTCTCCTGCTGACAATGGAGGACTCACAGTCAGTCTAAAGGGAGAAATTATGTCCCAGAGCAGTCTGTGAGAAGAACAAATGCACACACACACACACACACACACACACACACTACTTCTCACATGCTACTCATGTGGGGCATGACCTCAATAACAGCTACTGTTGTATTTGCAAAGCCCTCAACACCATGTGCCGACCACTTTTAAAAGCTGTAACGGTTAGGCCTAAGGTTCAAATAAAAAATTGGTTCAGCCAAGTTGAAAAGAGTTGTCCTTCATGGATTTTTTATTCTGTGCACAGTACTTTTTATTTACAGCTGTGTGAATGTTTCCAAAATTAACAGCATTGCAGCCTTTAAAAAAACAAAAATGGATGTGAAGAAAATAGTTATATCTTAACAGACTCTGATATTGGCTTGTTCTTATAGTAATGCCTCATGTTAAATGTTTTTAATAGTTTTAAATTCCTCCTTACCCAAGTCTTTCTTCTCTGTCATAACAGGTAAGGAGGAGCCGACCACCTACACCTGCACTACATGTAAGCAGTCCTATGGCAGCGCCTGGTTCTTGCTGCAGCATGCTCAGAACACCCACGGCTTCCGTATCTATCTGGAAAGTGAACACGGCAGCCCTCTCACCCCACGCATGGGTGGGCCATCCTCCCTGGGTGGGGGTGCGGACTGCCCCTCTCAGCCTCCTCTTCACGGCCTCCATCTGCCTCCTGATGCGAGCCCCTTCAACCTCCTCCGCATCCCTGGCTCGGGCTCAGGTGGAAGGGACAGCGTCGGAATAGGGGGTGGAGTTGGTGCTGTTGGCACTGCTGGTGGGGGCCATCATCAGCGTTTCCCACCCACGCCACCCCTCTTCAGCCCCCCTCCAAGGAACCACCTGGACCCCCAACACCTGAGCCCAGAGGAGCTGGCGCTGGCAGCCCACCACCCGAGTGCCTTTGACAGGGTGCTGCGCCTCAATCCCCCTCTGCCCCTGGACCCGCCTCCGACAATGGACTTCTCACGGCGGCTACGGGAGCTGGCGGGCAACACCTCAGGGTCCACTCCCCCACTATCCCCCAGCCGGCCCAGCCCCATGCAGCGCCTGCTCCAGCCATTCCAGACAGGAGGGGGAAGCGGAAGCACAGGAGGTGCAGGGGGCAGCAAACCTCCATATCTTGCCACCCCACCCCCTCTTCCAGGCTCCATGCAGTCACCTGTGGGTTCTCAGACCACTCCTACCACCCCTCTCCCCTCAGCAGGAGCAACCCCTTCTGCTACCACCCCCTTGAAATCAAAGTGTTGTGAGTTTTGTGGCAAGGCCTTCAAGTTTCAGAGTAATCTAATTGTGCACCGGCGCAGCCACACAGGAGAGAAGCCGTACAAGTGTCACCTGTGTGATCATGCTTGTACACAGGCTAGCAAACTGAAACGCCACATGAAGACACACATGCACAAATCGTCCTCGCCAAACACGGGCAAGTCAGAAGATGGTCTCTCAACAGCTTCCTCTCCAGAGCCTGGTACCAGTGAGCACTTGGGAAGTGCAAGCAATGCCCTTAAGTCAGTGGTGGCCAAGTTGAAGAGTGAGAATAACCGCATGCTACGTGAGAATGGGGAAGAGGAGGAAGAGGAAGAGGAGGAAGAGGAAGAGGAAGAGGAGGAGGAAGAAGATGAGGAGGAGGAGGAAGAGGAGGTAGAGGAGGAAGAAGAGCAGAACGGAGAGAGGGCTGCCAGAAGAAACAACAATAGCTATCACTTTGGGTTGAACCTTGAAGCAGGACGTCAGCATGAAAACAACGGTGGTATCGGAAGCCGACTGGGAGGAGTCGCTGATGAGGGGTCCATCCCTCGCTCACTGCCTGAGGTGATGCAAGGAATGGGCCTGGCCGCTAGCATGCATCACTTCAGCGAAGCCCTCAACGCGCACAAACGAAATGCCATGGCCCAGGAGAACCACCTGCATCACCACCTCAACCGAGACCATCACCACAATCGCGAGATGTGTGATGGGGACTCAGTGTTGGAAACAGATCGTGGGGAAGAGGGCTCTGTCTCAACAGTCAACGGGCGGGGAGCATCCCCTAATGAATCTGCCTCTGTTGGCCTCTCAAAAAAACTGCTTCTGGGTAGCCCTAGTCCACTCAGTCCTTTCTCCAAACGCATCAAGCTGGAAAAAGAATTTGACCTACCCACTCCCACAATCCCAAACACGGAGAACGTCTACTCCCAGTGGCTGGCTGGCTATGCCGCCTCACGACAACTCAAGGACCCTTTTCTGAACTTTGGGGATTCCAGACAATCGCCCTTTGCCTCCTCATCTGAGCATTCTTCAGAGAATGGTAGTCTGCGTTTCTCGACCCCTCCGGGGGAACTGGACGGTGGGATGTCGGGCCGCAGTGGTACAGGCAGTGGGGGCAGCACACCACACCTCGGGGGTCCTGGACGGCCCAACTCCAAGGACGGCCGCAGGAGTGATACTTGTGAGTATTGTGGCAAGGTGTTCAAGAACTGCAGTAACCTGACAGTGCACCGGCGCAGCCACACAGGGGAGAGACCATACAAGTGTGAGCTGTGCAATTATGCTTGTGCCCAGAGCTCCAAACTTACTCGCCACATGAAGACCCACGGTCAGGTGGGCAAAGACGTGTACAAGTGTGAAATTTGTCAGATGCCCTTCAGTGTCTACAGCACCTTGGAGAAACACATGAAAAAATGGCACAGTGACCGTCCTTTGAGTACCGAAATAAAGTCAGAGTAGAAGGCCGAACTATGGGACCTTTCCCCCTCAGCTATGTCCACCATTAGTCCCCTGTTTATTCCCAGCCCCTTGTAGATTTGCCCCAACCCTAACACTCCACTTTCACCAGTCTGGTGGAAGCTTAAGACCATGTGCTCTGCACCAGCACACCCCGTTTCCATTACCCATTGAATGCATGATCTGTATCGGGGCAATACTCTTGCATTGACGCAAAACTTCGAGCCTTTCTCTTGTGCAATAATTTACATGTTGTGTACTATTTTCTTTTTTGAGTTTTCCTTTTCCATTTTTAAGAATTAGTCAGCATGCATAGTATGTTTTTGCTAATCAAAAAAAAAAGAAAAAGAAAAGAACTTGTCCCTGGTTGGTTAGTTGTTGAGTAAATGTGTTGCTGTTTTTCTCTTGTTCTGTTTTTTCTTTTTATTCTTCAAAAAGAGAAAAGACAAGAAAGATACATCCATGCTGCATACATTCTGTAACACATATCATGTACAGCTTTGTTTTGTAACATGGAAAGTGAACAGTCTTTGACTCGACCCTCTTCTTACAACCCTGGAAATGCACTCATCCTGATCTTTCTAAAAGACGGCATGTTCACACAGGGTTTAAAAAAATCATACATTGGCTTAATGACTAAACTGAAAGTAATGACAACCTTCAAATTTCTTTTAAAAAGACTAGGGTGTGCTAAGAATTCAATTTGTACTATCATTTGGTAGAATAAGAAAGAGTGCCTTTGATATCTCAAGACTGCATTGGCCATAATCTTATCTGGTATAAGTGTGGGGTCACATTAGATAAAGCTAAAAGGTTTAAGCCACCCAGGGAAGGTCCTTGCATCAAGCACCTGACTGCTCAAATGGACTGTGACAACTCATGATGAAAGATCAGAGAGTTCTCGTTAATCATCATTTAGCTACCTATTACATGTTCAATAGGCTATCTTTAATATGTGGATTTCATGGCAAGCATGGTACAAGCAGTATTGTGTATATCTGAATTATTTGTAGTTTTGTTTCTGGTAAGGAGGTACTTTTGAGATAAAGGTAATCTGTAATGTACAATCCTGAACTTGAGGGATACAGCGCATGGCTGAGAAGTGTCATGTATCTGCGTTAGCACAAACCTACGACGCTGTTTCGATATGTCAGTGTGTGGAACAATGCATAAAGTAATATATGAACTCCAAGTGAGGCTAACCGTATTTGAGAGCATTGAAATAACTACAAGCTAGACAGACAGAAAGCTACACAGAACTGGAAGCTACATACATGTTACGGGGGATAAGAGGCAATCTCTTTCACTTTACATTTCTGGTATCAAAACAGGGTCATTAACTATGAATTGCATAAAAATGAAAGAAAGAATTGCAAAAAAAAAGAAAAGAAATATCTGTACTCCAGGGCTCTTGAAAAGAGTAAAATGCGATAATTTTAATCAGTATGCATAGGCTAATGCAGGGCACATTTCTTTGTTTGCTGTTGCTTTTCAACCCAAAAGGAGAGCTTTTTTCCTTGTTGAGTTTCATTCAAGCTGTTCATAGTATAGCACTTGTCACTCTGCCTGAGAGTAAGTACTGACATCTCTTGCATTTTCCCACACTGATGCAATGTTGGTACATGGGTTGAGTCTAAAAGCTAGATTGTCATTTATAGGACATGAAGTGCACTGTTGCAATTTTCCCAGTTTACAAGTTTACGCTGAAGGGGAAAACGCTGTTGAAATGCTGTCAAATGACGAGGGTCCCATTGTTAAAAGCAGTAAAAGATGAGACACATAATCTGTTGCCAGCAACTCCACCCTCATGAACCTTGACCTTTGTACCCTTGCCGTTTCACCTTTGACCATTTGTCAATTTGTTACCCCTAGAAACCCCAGTGCTTAGTCTGGGCTGAAAATTCACCCTGTCGGCAAGGTCTGTGAATTAAAAGGTTTGATGGGAGTTACATAAGTACCAAGCGCTCCTACATAGTCACAGAATAAAGCTCAATTTGGCCACAGAAGTACCCAACATCACATTTATAAAGGAGCTGCATTGTAACTTTGTTTTCATCTACACCTGAATCATTTATAGACCTTGCTGGCTAGACAACAGACACTCAAATCTTGTTGCTCACACTGCGAGAATCTGTTTTTGTATAAATCTTCCTTTAATTATAGATATGAAAATAAACGTTTTTGCAAATAACACTTCACTATCTTTTAGGGGAAACTGTATTTAAGTTTTGTTGTCGTTTCTCTTTTTCCTCAGCGTCTTGGTGGTGTTCAAGACTCCGATCACAGTATATATGAAATGATAAAACAAAAAAAGACGAAAAAACAAACAAAAAAAAAATTCTGTGATGGTTTTGTATTTTATTTTGCCTTGGCTCTTCACAGCTCTTCAGGTTGAAATACAATTTGCATTGGGGAAAGGATTAAGATTATATATGAATATATAATAAAGAACTTAAAATATAGGAAAATGCACACTCATGTCGATTCCTATGCTTAAACACATTTATGGTCTACTTTTTCTGTATTTCTAGAATTGTATTTGAATTCAATGTTCACTTAGAGTAGGCACTATAGTATTTATATTGAGGCTCGTATTTTTAACTGTTGCTTGTTCTCTCTAAAGGTATTTACCATACCTTTTTTTGGTAGTGGAAAAAAAATCCCAAGCTGCCACGGTATATTTTTTTAATTTGGCAGGATAATATAGTGCGAATTATTTGTATGTTTAAAGAAATAAAAGGAAAAACCCCATAAAAAAGCAGCTAAAGTATGTGGCATTGGGAGGCGTCACGGGCCATCAGATGGCCGCCGCTCTGTTTCCTGTCCACAGAGGTGGTTGTACATATCTTCTTTGGTTTTTGGTTCGGACCTCCTTCCCTCCCTCCCCCTGCTGCCATTCTTGTATGCAGTAATGCAAGCTGACGTCGGCCTGTTCTGTTGTGTGCTTCTGTCTCTCTCACCCCTCCCACCTGACTACATTCCAACATCAAGAAGAGAGGAAAAAAAAGAAAAAAAAAACCTTCATATGCAGTACATGGATTACGAAAAAAAAAGCGTCAAAATAAATACATTTAAAAAGAAATTAAATGTTTTGCAGTTTCTTTTCATTGCCAAATACTAAATGGTGCTTTATATTTAGATTGGGTATACTTTCATATGCAAAGCATATTTAAAAATGACCCGGGGGATGTGGAGAAGCCTGCTTGAGTTGAGACTTTTTTGTAAATGGCAATGCGGAATATTTTGTTATCAGCCTTTTCTATTCCTATTCTGAGAGCTGTTTGTTGTAACTTGAACTTGAACTTTATCTTTTACTATGGGAGTTACTATTTATTATTACCTATATGCTCTGTTCAAAACAGAGACATGGAATGGATCCTTATTTTTGGTTTCTTTTTATTTTATTTTTTATTTTTGGTTATAATATAATTTTGATTTTGTTTTTTTTTTTGTAATGGTGGCCCATGGTCATTGGACAAACCTAGCTCTTTAATTTCTGTTGTACTTTTGGGGTCTCTGTTCAGTTGTATTGGGAAAACCACTGTCTGTGTTTTCTGGCAGATGTCTGCATAATCCTGTTCACACACCCATTTTGTCCCTTTATCGAAAAACAATTAATAAAAAAAATGAAAGTATAATGGCACTTGTCGCTTATCTCCACTGTGTGTGTCAAGTTAAATCAAGCGTGTGCATGACTATGTGTGTAATAACCCCCCTATCCTGGAGCTCATTGGTATCTTCTTACACATTTCTAATATAAATGTTTATTTCTCATAAATTACTTAAAGTGGAAGAGTTTTCACAAGTCAGCATTTACAGGCATGTAGTGCAGAGGGCATTGTTCCACCTCCCAAGTGTGTTTTAGGTGTTAGTGGTGACCTGCACAGGATTCTTTACATGATTTCCGTAATCAGGCCTGTGTCTTGTGCTGTTGCTTGAACCCAATGAACTCAGTCCTCCACCCCCCCAACCTCTCCCTAGCCTTTGGCCCTGTACAATATGTACCTTATGACTTTCTGTGTGTGTGTGTGTGTGTGTGTGTGTGTGTGTGTGTGTGTTTGTGCATGTGTGTCTGTACGAGCTGTCACTGTCTTGCCCAGGAGGGGTGGTCGGGCTTAACAGGTGTATATGCAAATCATCTAAACACCTGTGTGTCTGCAGTGTCATCCTACCTGTTGGTCAAGACAGTCCAGCGGGTTTTAGTGTGTGCGTCTTTTGTGTTTGTGTGTATGTGTGTCCCCACCATTTTCACTTAGCTTGCACGCTATCTCAAAGCACATATGTGTATGCATGTCACTCCTCAAAAGTACAGTACAGTATCTGTTACTGATAATAGCTGCTCCCTCTGTGCCTTTCATTCTCAGGCACACGCCTGCGCACACACATATATGTACAGTGTACCAACGTATATATATATGCTCCTCCTCTCACAGAATGTACTTGAGTAAATATCATTATGTCCCTCTGTTTGCTCGGTAGTCGCAAAGCCTCATAAAGCTGTCAGGATCAATCAGCACTATGTTCTCCAACCACCGCACCCTTGTGTTCAGCTTTCTCACACACGTCATGTCTCCTCAGAAGGCATCATTGCACCTGCTAAGGGAAATATAAGATGTAATAAGTGCAGTCATTAAAAAAGCATACAAGTTATGTTAATTTAAACTTGGATAAAAGAAAAACAAAAGCAAAACAGAAATCTAAAAAAAAAGTTTTTATCATAGATTGTTATATGTAAATACTGTATTTGTTTTCCATCTTTTACTGCTGTGTTTTGCAGGGTTACCTTCATGCTAACATTGAAAACTTCACCTGAACTCACAGATGGATTACTGAACGGGACTGGCATACACAGGCCCAGGGACCCTAAGTGTCAGGAGCCCACTGGCCTTCACCTGCAAAATGTCACTCAAATTAACATGTATCAACCAGGAAAAGACTCAGAACGCGAGATGCGCACGAACTGCAAAGTGACACAGAATAACCACAAAGAGAGGCAAAATGACCAAAAAAAAGACACAAGTATAACTCAAAGAGATGCAAACTAATCTTCAAAGATTTACAAAACTACAATAAAGTCAAAGCAAAGGAACTTCAGAAACACAAAATGACCAAAAAATGGCAAAATAAACTCAAAGAGTCACAAAATGACAACAAAAAGATGGGATGGAACTACAAAGACACATAAAACAACTGCAAAGAGACTTAAAAAAGACAAATATACATAAAATGACTACAAAGAGTCACAACAATAAAGTCAATGCCAAGGAACTAGACAGAGACACTGACTGACCTTTAAAGAGACACAAATATGACTCAAAGAGACACAAAATAACTTCAGGGTCATAAAATGACAACAGAGATGCAAAGAAACTACAAAGAGACATAAAACAACCAAAAAAGACAAATATACCTGAAAGAAACATAAAATGACTTCAAAGAGTCGCAAAACAAGGTCAATGCAAAGGAACTACAAAGAGACACAGAATGACTATAAAGAGACACAAGATGACCAAAGACAAGGACACAAATACACCTCAAAGAGACATAAAATGACTTCAAAGGGTCACAAAAAACAACAAAGTGATGCAAAGGGACTACAAAGAGACATAAAATCACCAAATGCTGTGTCTTGGTTTTTTTTTTTTTTTGCATGTCTGTTCCCGGTGGTCGCAATCTCTCATTATTCACCCATGCCTCAACTACTATATTTTGTTCACAATGGAGAGGAAGAGAACCTATCTAGTCACAGCAGATCCAAAGTGGTACTCCTTTTCACAAATATTAAACCAAACACTACAGCATATACACAATATTATAGTGAACAGTCGAAAGAAACCTGCATGTTATATTTTCTCAGCAGTTCTACTAGTACTATTTTAGCATCAACAATACCTGCAAAAATACAACTACTGTGTAATATTTGTGGCAAGTAAATAGTAGCAGAGTGTGTGAATGAGCACAGGCACCACATGTCAAGTATGGCCATTTTCATGCACACAACAGCACAAACATGAAATGGCCTGTTATCTGTTCATACAGTATGCTTGCTGTAGCCATTTTTCCAAATGCCGGTCAAAGAATGCTCATGCTGAGTAATTTTGAAGACATTTCTGTTCTCATATTGTATATTATATGTTGTGTATTCTCCTCTAACGGCATTTTTACTTTGCGGCATGGTACAGAGTGACAAGATGGGGAGTGGAACAGGTTTCTAGACTTGGAGGGTGGAGTAACACTTTCTTCTGCTACTGCTGACGTGCCCCTGACCAAGGCAGTGACCCCCAACTGCTGCAGGAAGAATGCAGTGGAAGACTTTGGCTGTACTGGGCAGCTCCCAGGTGTGAATGTGTTGCACTGTTTGAATGTAAAACAAGACTGTTGCTGGAAAAGAGCACAGAACCTCCTGTAAATTTCCCTGCAAGAATAAAGGCTACAAAAGGTCACAAAGAACATGTATAACTCAAATTCAAAGGAATAACTTTTTTGTGCAACTTACTGCCAAGCTACCTTGATGCCCCTAGAGCTACTGACTTTGAGGAGATACAGTGCTGCGAGAGGTTCAGGTGTGTTGGACATGGAGAGACTGTAAGACTTTATTTCCCTCCTCAGGACCCACAAGTGGCAGCAGTTTCCTTTTTACTCCCTGTTAAACAATGCGACTAGCCACCAGCAGCACCGCCTGGGCAAATAAAACAAATCAGCACCATATTTTTTTTCACTTCCTCTCTCTCTCTCTCTCTCTCTCTCTCTCTCTCTTTGCCTCTTCCCACTCTCTCTCTCTCTCTCTCTTTCTGTGATAAATTCATTGTGTTATAAACCCGTGAAGCGTTCAGGCCTTTTCTGCTTTACTAAGGCTCTCCTGTGCTGGTTTATGTGAAAAGCATAACGCATTTGTCACCGTTATAAATTCTATACAACCATGACCTGCAGTCCCCCATAAACTCCCATGGATTTGTCTTTGGCCTGCAGGGTTAACAATAAAAGATTCTCCAAAGAGAAAGCATGTTTTCACACTGCTTTTGTCACTGTATGGCCTTGGCGCAACACTGTTCCAATGGAATCTAGATAAAGGAAAGGAATGTACGTGTGTGCGAGTGTGTGCGTGTGTTTTGTCTGTCTTTCACCCGACTGAGTGTACTTTGGTATCTGTGTACATACTGTGCTATGCCACAGAAGTGGATTTTATGTTAGCGAGCCTCCGTCTGCCATACAGAGGAGTAGCTACTTCTATACGTATTGAGCGGTTTAATACACGCTGACCACTGCGGTCTATAGGAACTGGCTGCAAAGTAAATGGCTTTTACTGTAATGGACAATCATTGAACATTACTTAGCACATATAATGGCCACAAGGCCAGTCCGGCACGTAAAAAATTGCAATCAAAGCCAGTAAAGGAATAATGCATGGACACTGACCGCCTTTGACCACAACACACTTAACGCCCTTGAGTAGAAGTTACAGTTTAAGACATTGACTTAAGAACCGCAGAATGAAACTCTGTGCAATCATTGGCGATGAAAATAAACTTTATCTCTGACCCCATACAATTCACGGCGGCGAGGCCATTTGATTTACTTGAATATGCTCTATGTTAACATACTAAGGAGGGCTATAGAGCTTGCAAAAATTTCTTGGAATTTGAGCAAAGTTTCTTCAGGGATACTTCTTGTGTATGTGGGTTTTATTTATTTTATTCAATTTTATTCTATTTTGTATTTTCTTTTTTGTTTCAATCTCAGTCTTAAGTTTCATTTATAAAGCCCAGTATCACAAATCACAATTTGCCTCAGAGGGCTTTACAACATTCGACATCCCTCTGTCCTTGGATCCCCGCAGACGATAAAGACGCCCCTTAGTTAGAGCTGAGATCAAGGAGCATGGCAGCATCACTACAATGAAGTCTGATGAGACAAGACACGTGAGCCATCTGCATTGACAAACTGTTAACATGCCAACACATCAGTCAACAACTATTTACTTCTAGCTAAAACTAAACTGTGGCATATGTGGTAGGTCAGTGTTGTGTTTGGTGTTAACAACAGACAGTTTTAGTGTTAATATTACTGTTTGTCTATGTTTTCACTTACAAATAGCCTAAGTCTTCTTAAGTGAGAATTTGTTTTAGATCTGTGTTATAGATTTAAAACTCAGTCAAAATAGGCTCAAAATGCCCCCAAACCCACTCCATATATTGATACAAAATTTAAAGAAAAAAAAAGCTACTATAGGCAACCGTGCACAGCCGTGCAATATAACCTTTTGCAAATGTCATAAACATAAATAAACTTCACAAATTCCCATTATTATTCCTACTGGTTCTAATATTACATTTTGCTGCAGTTCACTATGTAGTTTGTGCAAGTGGTGTTGCCATACCCCAGCCGAAGCCAGTCCTTGACTGCTGTAGGTAGGTACAATCAATGTCAAACACTGTACTGTCTCTCTACTACATTCATTTTGAATGTAATATTAACTGGAATGGAATATAAGTGTTATGTAGGCTATATTACTGTTGATTGGTCTAGTTTTCATTAAGTGTTAGCATGTCATAAAAATGTCATTAAAGAGTCAAAGTGTTTGCACTTTCATGTGCAGCCATCAATCATATGCTAGCTCCCTAAAATGTCACTCAGTCACTGAAA